TAACCTAACTTTATCTTGGTCATAAATTGGCCAGATGTAAACCTGCTACTTTTCTCTGACATTGCGAGACACAAAGTCCTATTGATTGCATCATCCTCGACTGTTTCTTTTGCTTTGTATTGTTTCCGTTTATTGCCTGTAAACTTGAAATTTAGTAACCAAAAGTAGAATTTGCACTGAAAACTTGGTGGTGTGAATGATGGAAGAAACCACATCGTACTTGCCTGGTCTGCTTTTTGTAGACTGCTGCTGAGGAAAATGCAGAAAATGTTCAGAAAACGGACTTATTTCTGCTGTTTCTCTTGAACAAAAAAGAAGAGTTAGAAAAGGAAAAAAAGAAGGTAATTAACAGGGTAAAAGGGTATCTGTAGTTATTTCACTTCAGCATCCATCCATACGAAATCCTATGTTTATAGGGTGTTTGTAGAACGTTATAGTAAAAATAGTGAAACAGTTTTATTTTTGGATTGGCACTTTGCCCTGAATTTGATATGTTGACCTCTTGCCCCATTATGAATATCTGATGCTCCTTTTCACTCCTTCTGTTTTGCCTATTCTTAGTATTTCTACACTTGAAAGGGCTGAGTGAGTTGCTTTTCCCTGTGGGTGGTTGCTCCGTTCTTTTACTACCGATCTCTCCTGTGTGTTCCTTAAGGACTAGTGATAATATTTAAGTGTTTAGGGTTTGTTTTGATAAAACACTGAGCACTAACCTCAGCTCAGCAGAACACTTAGATCTGTGACTGCTTCCACTGAAGTACAATGCTTCACTGTTTTTATGTGACGGGGTTACCTGAGAAGAACCATAGAATCACAGGATGGTTTGGGTTGGAAGGGACCTTAAAGACCATCCAGTTCCAACCCCCCTGCCATGGGCAGGGACACCTTCCACTAGACCAGGTTGCTCCAAGCCTCATCCAGCCTGGCCTTGAACACTTCCAGGGATGGGGCATCCACAGCTTCTCTGGGCAACCTGTTCCAGTGCCTCACCACCCTCTCCGGGAAGAACTTCTTCCTGATATCCAATCTAAACCTCCCCACTTTCAATTTAAACCCATTACCCCCTGCCCTGTCACTACAGGCCCTTGTAAAAAGAGTAAGCCTAATGATGCTTTCAAGACATTGGCTGTTCTGAATTCCTTTGCCAGTACAGCACTTCAAAAATAGGGCATGAGGAAACAAGATAGGAGTCTGAGCTGTCTTTCCATCAGCTTACCATCTTTTTACAGTTACAGTGCAAGATTCTCTGAATTTGGGGCTAGCTCGAATTGACTGAGGTTCGCAACGGCCATGCCAGCTGCATAGCCCTGAAAATCACAATGCCATTCCTGTCAATGCTGGGCAGAAACAGTACAACAAATTTTCCACATTAATGTGATTGTGTTTCCTTCCTTGTAAGTAGCTGGAATGAATTCTGAGAATTGGGAGAGGAGAGGGTTAAGGTTTTTTGAAAGATCAGCTTGATTCTAATAAAATCTAAGGGTAAAGATTGAAATAGTTTACCCGTGAGTTCACCCAGTGTTTTAGCTTTTTAAGTTTTTGAGCTTGTTCCTTAGCTAAAACCTTGGTAGTTTGCAACACTGTCTGCAGAAATTCAATTAAAAATATTAAATGTATTCGTGTACTGAGAGCAAGACAAACCCAGATATCCAGCTCTGTTGCTCGTGCATTCAGTTTCCTTCCCGTAATCCTGTGAGTTATTGTGTAATTCTTGTATACCCTGAGCTCTGGCTTCCCTGTTGATGTCATTTTGAAGTCCAAGTAATCTTCACGACAGGAAGGTCTGTTCTCCACACTTCATGTGGCAGCACCAGTGTTTTGGTCTGCATGGGGAGTTTTGATTACTTTACTAACTTCAAAATTCCCAGTGAAAGGCCAGTTCTGTATGCAGTGCTGTCGAAGGATCTCTGCACGCCCTGTCTCGGTGGGTCGGCAACTGTCGACAAATCATGTGGCAAATGACGTTACTTTCATTTACTCTGATTTAGTGGAGTTCTGTTGCTTACAGGTTTTGGGTTGATTTTTTTTGTCACACAGAGGCTTTCCATAGGTTATTGCAGCTAGCTCTACAGTGGTGGTGTACGTGGGAAGATGCTTCTGTTGAATGACTACGCTTAGTCCATCTTGTAAGCCATGCATCTGTATAACTCTGATATGAGTAAGTAAACTGTGAGCTTGAAAAGTGAGAGAATGAGCTCCATGTGTGTACATTTATATCTCCTAGACGGAGTTACAAGCAACTTCTGCTGAACATTCGTTGAACATCTTTGTATGGTAGAGCTTCATTTGTTAAATCCCCATTACAAGCCATGAGTCAGACAGACCATTCAAGGGTCTGAGTGCATCCCTCAGTGTTACAATAGATGTTTTCAATGCTTCAGTATTATCTCAGCTTTCTTGAGCTTCTTGTGGAGTATGTCAAATTTGTAGCTGGCTACAGATCCGTCGGTTGCCTTGCATGTAATCAATTCTCACCAGGCTCAATAGGATTAATCTCGCTGACAGAATGGTAGTATCCAAGTTACCCATTTGTCACGTTCTTCGTCCAGTTTGACCTAATTAGTGGAGGTGGATGGGTGGATCAGGTTTACTGTGCCTCTGCCTCTACTTGATTCTCAGTTCTTTTGAAAGTCACCCTTGGGCAGTTTAAGCTTTGCTGTGACAGCAAGTTCTTGATCAAATGCTCAAGCAGCTAAGGAAAAGCAGTATTATCCTTACTCACACTGTACACCATATTCACTTACTGTTTTCTCCTTGAGACGGTAATTGTTTATTTTTAAATAGTAATGTTATTTATTTATTTATATTTACTTTTATGTTTGCTTAAGCTTGGACCCAGGAAAACAGGACACGTGCTCCGATCAGCCAAGGTGTTAGGTCCTGGCTGGCGGCTTGTCCCTTGCATTTGCTGGGTGCAGCTCCACGTTGTCAGTTCTCTGCGCCTGTGTCACTTTTGTTTTCATTATTCATTACTGTATTTGGTCATCAGCATGGGTTACTGGTGGTCTCACTAATCTTCTAGCTTCACGCTAATCACCTTGACTTTCTCCATACCTTTGGCCTTCTGGTGGGTGTCTCTGGGGCTTTCCCTTCCCTTCTGGTGTCCTACCCCAGACGTGTTACAAGAAACGTGGAGGTCTGTTGGCAGAGAGAGTGGCTTCTTTGAATGCCCAGCAGGCCAGCAGGCCCTCACCGGAGGCCTCTGATTTTTCCAGCCTCCGGTACTCCCAACATTTTCAGGTGGCTGTGAAAACTCTAACTGACTCCAAAGAGAAGACATGAGGAAACATTCTGTGGTGTGCTCTGCCCTAATAATTGTTGCTTATTTCAGTTTGGATGTGCACACTGGTTTATGTTACTGTGTGGCCACAAAATAATATACAGGTTAAATTCCACTAGTTATGTGTCTTGGTAATCTGATGTCTAACACCATATGTGCAGTCAGTATAAAAGAGACAGAAATTTGGGCTGTCAGTTGCCAGATTTATTTCACACTTCTTAATATAGCATGTAGTTGAGCCCAATGGATTTCTTAACTCCTCAACAGACAAGATTCCACTGCTGAGTTTTCTTTTTGTAAAAAGAAGGATGGAAGCAGAGTGTCTGGGGAGTGGTGGGTGATGAGAGCAGAGTGGGGTCTGCCTCTCCTGGCAGAGGTAGCTCACAATGTGAACCTACTGTTGAAACCTTTCGTTCTCCATATCTTACCTCCTTTGCAGGTAAGCACGCTGACTTGAGGGACCTATTGCTGCTTTTTTGACGTTACAGAACTATTTTAACTTTATAGCATGATAGGCCGTGTAGGCAACTGACATTCTTACGTGTATTTAGAAGACACATTTAGCACAGCTGTACAAAAGAAAGGATACCTTTGGAAGGCTAGAGCATGCCTATGTCAGAAAAATGGTTCAAAAAGACTAAATAGTTGCTTGTTCTCCACATGTGGAAAACACTTAGCAATGTGGTAAATAGTTGTTGGAAAGAGGTGAAAACAAATTATTAAGTCCTGAATATAGGTAACTACATATTTTCTCTCTAAAATCACTTCTTTAGGAAGTGATAATTTTTTTTTGACAAAGTCTTCTTGCACTTTTAGTTCAGCAAGTGCAGAATGAATGAATTGCAAACATAGTGTTTCAGGTTGTTGACTCTATTAGCCAAGCTATACATGTATGCAATGTCTCTTCGGAAGGAAAATCTCCATGTTTGTAAACAGTACTGGTAACAAAAGAAGAGTAGGGCTATGAGTAACCACTTCCCCATTCTGATACAGTTTTCTAAATATTTTTCTTGAGTATCCAGGTGTCTGCCTAGGACTGGGAAATAAAATACTAGTACTGTGAACTGTGGGTTTTGTTTTTATTTCATTGTGGTCATATCTCTGCACTGTCATCATGTTGACAAGTTACAGCTCTATGTTTCTGTAAAAAGAAAAACATCTTTAAAGAAGTTTCTTTGCTAAATCAGTGATTTTGCAGAGAAGAACCGTATAGTTTTGGCATGGGGGAAATAGTGACGGGGTTTTGTGCTTCTGACCTGAGAGTTATGAATGAAAATGCCTAGTTGAGCACATAACTAGCAGAAAGTTTGGCTCAGAAGGGTAGTGACATAGCTGGTGTTTAATAATTGACCAGAGTAATTCATAACATTGGACACCATTAGTGACACTGTTAAACTCAGTTATTTGCTGAGGAAATTGCTTTTGGCTGGTGCCAGCTTCAACCTCTTAAATACTGTACTTTAAATAAATGTTGTAGATTAATGTGGAGGCAATTGGATGCCCATTCCTGTAAGATGCTGAGTTCCTTCTGTTCTTGGATTGCACGAGGACATGGTATGGAAGGACACACCGTCGCCTCCCAGTCTTCCCTCAATACACCCTTATAACGATTCCTACGGTCTGGTGGTTTAGGAAGGTCAGTTACAGAACAGACAGACAACAGTGTGTTTCTCAGGGGAGTCAATACTATTGAATAGCTGTGGGCGTGGGTGATTGGGTGATGAATCCATTTTCATCAGGTATGGGTTTGGGTTTTACTTCTGACGTCCCCTAACGTGTTTCCACGAATCCGAACGGTGCCGCTTGCGACTGCGTTGTGCGCACGCACAAGAGCTTCCGTGTTGCATCATAAACTCAAGTAGCTATGCAGCTGGGGCAGCTCAGCCCCTTAGAAAGGTGGGGATAAGGCCCTTTGGATAAAGAACTTGGCAGGCCAGACCTGTAATTTCTTATCGATGAGTTGTGTACGCTCTGAAAATTTGTACATTAGTAACCTTAGAGTCTTCTAACATTAATTATTGTAGAACTACTACAGCATTCAATCCTGAAAATACTGTAACTAACTGGAATGCAATTCAGTGTAGGAAAAAACGTGCTGAAGAAAGTTGATGAGGTCATCCTCTTCCCTGTGAGGAATGGTCGGGGGTCCTAACAGTAATCGCCTTTGCCCTGATAGTCTGAGTCACTTGAAAAACGGGTGAGAGATGGAAAAGAGTATTTCTTCGTGAAGACGAGGGGATAAAGTAGCACCCAGGAAGAGCTGTACCTAATTGCTGTGTCCTTTGACGCACTGTGGGTGAAGCAATGCTGCTAGCTGAGTCATTCCCCCTGCTCTCCTGGTCAAGCTAGTACTGCCAAGATAGTAACTGACAGCTGGAAAAGCAGCTTCTGTTGGAGGAATTGAAATTGCTGTTTAGTTTTCCCCTGGGACTTTGTTTGCAAGTGGGTAATGAAGTCTTCCCTAGTTCTTTGCTTTGCTAGAATAAACCTGCTTATTTTTCACTTTCAGCATTTATCTAGTGTATGAATTGGTTCAGGTTAGGCTGGCGAGCGCAGGGTTTATTGCTTTATTGGAGATCGTGGGTTCATGCAGGGTAACGTGTGTGCAGGCAGACCTCCAGGGGAACTTGAGAGGCGGCTGGAAACCCCAAGGATTGTGTTACAAACCCTGCCAAGCTCCTCACGTCGGTGTGAGGGCCGGTGTCTCCAGGTTCTGAGAAGTAGCCTGCTCTGACAGAGATCGATCGGCACACTCCGATAAGGAACACGAAGCGGAGAAACAGTACGCCGTTTGAAAAACGCCCCTGATCACGGCGCCACGTTATAAAAGTCAAGAGAGAGTGGGTTTCCTCCTACTGCACACTCCTGTCTGGCGTGGCGTGTGGTTTACATGGGTTCTTTCAAGAAGAGTAGCAAAAGAAATGTCTTCAAAGCATCAAATGGTAGAAAAAATGATTGTCTTGCTCAAGAAATGTATATTCTGTATTACTGTTATAGGTTAGGATGGTTATTCAGCTGGCTTCCTGCCTGGTGTCCTACATCACTGCTGCACCTTAAAGAGGCTGAGGACAAAATGCTAAAATGTAAGTCTTTGATTTTTAGTAAGATTTATAGATATAACTACTTTTTCTATAAATTTACATGAAATATAATCAAAGAAGTATTAAAATATGGCTTCTACACTGTGATGAAATAGATTTTCATTGTTCCCTTATTTGGATATTTGATCTGATCTCTCCTTTGAAAGGGAGCTCCTATTTAAAACAGCGACTTCCGTAAGATGTGCTACATATTTTGTCAGGCATGTCTAGCAGTGTCGTTTTTTCCCCACTCTTTCTGCAGGTATTACGAGCACATACAATAAACGATATGTGTATATATCTAATGGAAATAAAATATGGACGCTGACGTTCTCTCCGGAGCTTTCACATAAAACTCCGCTTGTTCTCCTGCATGGGTTTGGAGGAGGTGTCGGACTGTGGGCTCTCAATTTTGAAGATCTCTGTGAGAACAGGACCGTTCATGCTTTTGACCTCTTGGGATTTGGACATAGCAGCAGACCACACTTTGACACCGATGCTCGGGAAGCAGAAAATCAGTTTGTGGAATCTATAGAAGAATGGAGAAAGGAGGTGGGGCTAGAAAAAATGATTTTACTTGGACACAACCTAGGTGGATTCCTGGCTGCTGCTTACTCATTAAAATACCCATCAAGGTATGTGCAAATGAAGGAATGAAGGAATTCCTTTTCTGTATTTGTCTCGTGATTTTAACACAGATTTTATTTCATCAAGCTCTTTATGGATTATCTTTAAGTAAATTACTGTGCTGATTAAAAAAAACCCCTTCATACTGAATTTTAAGCCCCAAGTATTAACTGTGTGCTTTGTTTCCAGCTGAATAGTAACAAGTAGATGTGGTAAACATACTTTCCTGTACCTCTTTGTTTTTGTTCAGTACCCCCTTGCTATGTTATGAGGTGAAACAGCAAATATTTTATTTATGTGTGAATGTTTTGTGACATCTCTGGGCAAACCTAGGTTTGTGATGGGAAAATAAGCCTATTTCTGCCAAACTTCCCATTATACTGAAACTTCTGAGCGTAATTCTCCTTGGTAATTTATGCTAGCCGTCAGCCTGGTGCCAGTACGATGATATAAAATGATTTTAGTGACTGTTTGATTTAAATTGTCTGTGTGCCACTTCATATTTCTTCTTTGCAAAACAACCCAGCTGCAGCAGTGCTGTAGTTGTGTTTCATCGGCATTTTCTCCACCACATTGTGGCCAACAGCAACTTTTTTTTTTTCCCCCTTAAACTAATAGTTTGTCTCCTTGTTTTTATATAGTCTGGTTATATAGCCCTTGGTGAGCTAGGATCCCACCAACTGAAGTCCTTCTGTATAAAAAAAAAAAGGGCATTGCTTTTGTTTAGGTACACATAGTGGACTCCTGTGAAAAACTGTGAATATTAGTTTAGCTTTCCACGTGGTTCAAATATTCATTTATATTAATGTTGATTTATGCCTTATGAATTTCTTTGTCTCTCATTTGGAGATTTTGTAATAAATTCATACATCATTTCTCCTAAATCACTCTGCCTCTTTCTTTCCAACTGGACAACAGCTGGCACGTGTGACTGGAAATGATTTATGAATGCAAACGTGTGCCTACATCCAGAATTGCCATGAAGAAACACAGTCCTTTGCTCTAGAGTTGTAAACCTGTTATCGTTTCAGGAATAAAGCTACTTTTAGCTAACTGTAGCTAGTTTCTTGTGGGGATCACGTACAAGTTTCTTACCCCTTTTTCTGAAATACCTATAAACGGTGCTGTCCCATCCCTGTGAGGATGGGATATTGGTTTTGCCCCCTCCAAAAACCTTTGCATTGAAAGTGGTACCTTTTATTTTCATGCCTCGCTGTGCTTAAGTTGGGGTTAATTAATTTGGGGGCGTTTCAGTTGGTGCTTTCACATTACTCATGTTTCTCTGAAACTGGACTGACACCATCAAATCAGCAAATTGACTGGTGGGACCTTAAGACAGTATTGAATCAAGTGATAAATATAGCACAGCTTTCAGCCAGATTATCTAACAATGCATTAGATACTTAAGGGATTCTGGATACACATTGTTACGAAAGGAGATCTGTTTCTTTGCTTAGGTGATCCATTAATTTACTACATTGTACCACAGTTGTTCATGGGACATCTGAGGTTCCTAATCCAAAACGATTCTCGCTTAGAATATTCCTAGGTGGTGGTGGGTCGTGATTTTCAAATATTGCAACTTCTGGACTACGACTTTTTGAATCATTCTCATGGTCAACTTCCCATTATCCTGGGCTATATTTTAGGCTTGATTACCAAAAGGAGAAATGCCAAATAGGAAGTATTAGGAAAGGAAACTGAAAAAAGCTTACTCTATATTTATTCATGTGTTTGCTGTGTTATAACGCCGTTGTTTGTGCACAGAATGCATGGCTGTCCTGAATGGCTCCTCATTGCTTGCGCTCCTTAGCCTCTACTCTCTCCTGCTTGGATTGTGTAGTTAAATTCTAGCCTGTCCTCTCTGACCGTTGGTGTTTGTTGCTGTGTGCAAATACGCTCACGGCCAAGCTGACAGCCAAGAAACGTCTTTGTGATCTTAATCCTTTTCAACCCCTCATTTTAGACACAGATTTTTGGTTTCCCAGCTGATTATAGCCCGGAAATAGCCTTTGGAATCGCTTCTGATATCATTTTAGGTGCAAAGAACTCTGCTGTATTAAATGTCTAATCTTGTGGATTTGAAAGAGAAGAAGTAATGAACTAGAAAGTAAAGATGATGAAGCTTGCATGGACAATCACCTTAAATATGCAAAACTATAGTTAAGGGTCAGTTTTTCAGAAATGAGCAGTATCTAGGACAGTTAGAGTAGGTGTTATTAGGGGATTAAACAGAAATGGATGATCCCAATCTACCAAGATGAAATGCATTTTTTGCTTGAGGGGGACTCGCAGCATGAAGTGATTGGTAGTTGCATGTGCTGGAGACGCATCCTATGCTCTTGTGCTGAGATTCCTTTGAGTAATAATTCTATAAATTGTCTCTCTGACGTTTCTTTCATGACTTAAAAATCAATAAATTTAGAAAACATCTGCTAATTTTGCTCTGCCTTTCTCAGTTTAAATTTTACATTGATAAGATGATTTTTCAGATAAATTGCATCTTTTCTTACAACAGAGATCTTAGATGACTTGGAAAAGAAAGACTTTTAGCAAGTTTACTTAAATGAAATACATGCCATTATCTTCTTTCCTCTTGAATTAAACTGCTCCTGCAAATAATGTTGACTAAGAATATAGATTAAGCTATTTTTTAGAAACAAGATTGGCCTTTTTCTCATATGTATATGACAGTGGGTATCTATTGACTGCTGAGCTGCTCTTTGTGACGTGACCTTACAAGTTTCTGGTGTTCGTATATACAATTAGTTACAGTTCGGTCCCTCTCTAATTAGCAGTGGAAAGGAAAACCGTTGCTGAATCAGAAACGAGGTAATAAGCTGCTATGATGCAAGTGACTAAAACAGGTTGCATAGTCCACAGATAGCACATTACCGTCATACTCGGTCAAAGAAAAAGCGACGTACTCTAAACCTCTGAACCCTTTTTTGCCGACAGGGTCAAACACCTTATCTTAGTGGAGCCGTGGGGTTTTCCAGAGAGGCCTGACAATGCTGAACACGAAAGACCAATTCCAATCTGGATCAAAGCACTAGGAGCTGTATTGAGTCCATTTAACCCATTAGCTGGGCTGAGGATAGCAGGACCCTTTGGTGAGTTTCAGCTACTCTTAAATACCGTTTCTGTTTTCAGTAAACATGGGGCAGATCATAGAATCACTAGGTTGGAAAAGTCCTTAGAGATCATCCAGTCCAACCGTATCTGTCCACCACTAAACCATATCTCTCAGCACCTCATCCACCCGTCTCTTAAACACATCCAGGGATGGTGACTCCACCACCTCCCTGGGCAGCCTGTTCCAGTGCGTGATAACCCTTTCAGTGAAGAACTTCTTCCTTACATCCAATCTAATCCTCCCCTGGCGCAGCTTGAGTCCATTCCCCCTCGTCCGATCATCTGTCATTAGGGAGAAGAGACCAACACCCACTTCTCCACACCCTCCTTTCAGGGAGTTGTAGGCAGTGATCAGGTCTCCTCTCAGCTTCCTCTTCTCAAGGCTAAACAAGCCCAGTTCCCTCAGTCGCTCCTCATAAGACATATTCTCCAGACCCTTCACCAGTTTTGTGGCCCACGTTGAGAAGCTTTGTTGCAAGCGCATATCACCCACGGAGAAAAGAGTTGGAGGAGAAGGTGGGAGGGGTTGAGGACAGATGAACTCTTGAGTACAAGAGGGCAAGCTATTTTTATTAGATATATGGGTAGGGTAGTTTATAGCGAGCTACATTATGTTATTGAAGGCTACAGTTACAGTGAGTCAGCTTATGTGGACATCTGCTGGGGAAGCCTGACAAGGAGGCATGAACGTGAAAAGGGGTTTTTCTGGTTGCCTCCAGTCTCAGTCCCTTGAGTTTCCCTTCCATCTGCGGTTTGATGGACAAACAGAATTTCTAGATTTGGTGAGCATTAGAAGGCAGTCTCTCAAACTCATTTGTCTTTAGCTTGAGTTTAAAGAAGTTAAATTGAAACTGGGTTCTTTCCATTGTCCATTTTCTTATTACACTAGCACATTTTATGGGTCTCAGTGTCCTGCATTACAGTGGCAGTCTATCCTTCATATTTCTGTCTCTTCAGCAGCACTGATGAGGTGTTAGATCAACTCTGTTTACCCTCATACTAGGACGAGGTAGGAATGACTAAAAATACTAAGGCTTTAGTTTACGTGGGGAGGAGGCTGTGATCAAATCTCCTGCTGGAGAGGAAGGAGGTTATCTGTCTGTTACTCTGTGCTACAGGAGTGTCTGCTGCTGAGGCTTGGAGAAAGGTATTCTTCAGGCCCCTCACAAGTTACAATTAACTCACCTTTTCATCATTTGTAGTATTCAGTCTGAAGATAAACTAGGGGCATTTCTAGGCTTTGTTTAAGCCTTTAAACCACGCCTGTTTCCTAAATCTCTTTCTACAGAATATATATTTCAATGTGCTGATCTATTTGTCTGTTTTCAGGAACGTGACAAAATTAGCCTTTCAGACAAGCAACGTGTTTTGTACAAACAGATATTTTTTTTAAAGTGAAATGCTGATTAGGTTAACAAACTAACCTGAAGCATATTGAGTGATAAGCACTGATTTAAATGCCTTTTATCCAGTAATCAATGCATGCATAAATCAGTCCACGTGGAAGTGTTCAAAGCTGAAGTTGTCTCCCTTAGCACATACGTGCAGTCAAGACCATGCTGCAGAAACATGCCCTGTCTTTGCAAGATATCCCCAGCCTAGCCTTCCTGATAGGGTGCTGTGGAAGGCAGCGCTCTTCGGAATTTTTCATCCATTTCTCACTCCACGTGTTAAAAAAGTTTTCTGTCATCAGCTTAATGAGCTGTTCTTGATGGGTGAAGCCAGTAGGCATCAATCCCAGCCTGATGAAGGCACTGAACCAAACCCAGCTTTCCTTCGACGTGCACGTGTGCTTTGTGCTTAAGCTGCTGGGTAGGCGTAGCTCGCTGATCCTCCCTGTAAGGCCAATTACTCTCGTTCAAAGGTATGAGTTAGGCACTTAAATGTGAGCCAGGTGTTTTTTGGGATATCAGATGGTATCATATGGATATTTAATCGGATCCACAGGCAGATACTTAAACCTGGGAGGGAGGCAGAATCCAGAGAGATCTTTTTCTTTGAGTGGTTTCTAGTTAGCTGATTTGCATGTTTTCCTTCACTTAACAGTCACCCAGGAGGCTCACAGTATAGGGGTTTCAGTGCTTAGAATGATTGGATGGATTTGTAAATTCTAAGAATGGATTTGTAAATTCCATTCTTAGAGTATTCCTCAGCACAACAGTAATGTCACTGTGAACACACCCCGTTAGTGGAACTCAGAGCCTTCAGTGTTAGTGTTTCTTCTGGTATTTCCATAAAAACTATGGAAAACATCGACCGGACAATTGAAGGGATCTTGAATAAACATCACGAGAATGAACCAGTGTGATTTCATTCCAAAACTTGTTCCAAGGTGCCTTGACTCCTTGTTTCATTCTCCTCTGGGAATTATTTTCTCTTGCTCTGCATTAGTTTTCCAAATTGATTTAAAGCATACATAAGGGTGTGTTGCAAATAGTCTAATCTCAAGATTACAAAAGCGTGGATCGCTGTGACAAGGTGTACATAAATAGTACCAGGCCTTTGGCCAGGGGCAGGTGGGAAGAAGTGACATCATCCTAATTACACACATTAACTACAGTACTTTCAGTTGATAAACCCAAGTGGTAAACTGCGAGCCTATCTCTTCATGGATGAATAATATTCTTAGACTAAGATTAGCTTTTGATGAGGCTTTTGTTCCAAAGATCCCTCTGGTCAACTAGAAGAGTCTTCTTCCTTAAAGAAGTGATTCAGAATAGGAGCTTAAATTTAGAAAGTCTGAACTGGCCCCTGAAGGGACCCGCTTCGCTTTGGCTGTTGAGAGCACAGAGACAGTAGGTTAAATTCTCTTAGGCCTTAGGTAAATTCTCTTAGTTTATGCCAGTTCTTGTGTCTGATACTCACATCCAGATTTCTGAAACTGTTTTTCAGCATAGACCTCTGTTCTTTCAACTAAACACTAGTTAGACAAACTAGCTTCAGAAGACGGCTGTTCTGTAAAAGGAGAGCACAGATTTATACGTAAGGAAGGAAGTCAGCCCAGCTTTATCAACAGTGCCTTCTGGTTCTGTAAAGTGGGATGCTTTTGGCTCACCCAGTGCTGCCAAAGGAGAAAGACACTGTTGTTATCATGTGAGACTAAAGTGGTGGCAAAAAGATGCTTTGCCTTTCACTTTTTCCCTTTTACTTGTTGCTTCTCTTGCTGCAGTGGCCCTTCTCATACGTATTCAGCAGAGATTGAATTGCCCCTCTTTTTTTGCAGCATAAAATCCTGTAGAATACTTGTTTCATTATTGTTTGGTGTAATACCGTTATGTTTTCCTAAGACATGCAAGTGTTGAAACAAAACATTGGTTTAGAAGTCATCAAGCTTAGCCACGAGTTTCAAGGGAACGTGTTTGGAGAGCTGTAATGAAAAGCGTTAGGCAGTCTGATAGTCGTCTGTACTAATTCCTTCTCTAATAGTGTTTTCTGTTTTAACAGGCTTAAGCCTTGTTCAGCGTTTAAGACCAGATTTCAAGCGAAAATATTCATCGATGTTTGACGATAACACCGTAGCTGAATACATCTATCACTGCAATGTACAGTCACCCAGGTCAGTATGGATTTCCCAATATATGTTTTGAAGTCTGTCATTTATTTGGTGCCTGCTACTCCCTCCAATGGCCATGGCAACAGTGCACATGCTTGCTTTTTTTTTTTTAATTGTAACATTTATTGTATTGATTTAGAAAGGAAAAAAGATGGTATTGTACTTTTTCTGAATTTCAGGAACTGGTAAATGTAAAAGCTCTCCTAATTCCCTATTTCTTCTAAATTACCTGTTAATTCTGAGAGAGTTGGGGCACTAATTTTAAGTAAAAAATTTTTATGGTGATTTAATTCGTAAAGAATTTCTTTAAAAACTTTAGGGCATTTCATTCTTTTACATGTCATTACTTAGTACTGTAAGTACATAGGCTCTTTCTGTTGAAAATTACATACAGACCTAGAAAATTTATATTTCTTAATAGTAAAAAATCACAGCCTCGTATACTGCTGCACTCTATGTTACCAAAAGGCACAGATACTCTAATTTAGGGAAAAGGCAGATCCAATGGAAATGTAATTGTCTTTACTCTTTTGAATGACTTGAAGTGGTGAAACAGCATTCAAGAACATGACTATTCCTTACGGATGGGCAAAAAGGCCAATGCTGCAACGGATTCCACAAATGGATGGAGACATTCCTATCACTGTGGTCTATGGAGCACGTTCGTGTATAGATGGCAATTCTGGCAGCACTATCCAGTCTCTGAGACCAAATTCCTATGTGAAGACAATAGTAAGTTGACAATAAGACATTATTAAGCAGCTGTTTGTTTATTGTGTGGATTTGTTTAAGTAGTGGTGCGTTTTTATACCAAATGTGGAAATCATAGAATGGTTTGGGTTGGAAGGGAGCAGGTTGCTCAAAGCCTCATCCAGCCTGGCCTTGAAGACAGCCAGGGATGGGGCTGGCCCTGTGTTTTAGAGCCTGGGGTAATAACTTCTGATTTCTGTAACAGAGAGAGAAAACACTTAGATCAGAGAATACCAAGACAAAAGAATATTGAGTTTCCAGAGTACAAAAGAAAGTTTCTGTAGCACTAGAAGCTGAATTAGGTCTTTGAGCAAGGTCATTCTTCTGCTCTGCAGAATGTTTTGCTCTACAGTGCGCTAATACAAGTATTTTTTGTGGTCACTGGTAAGTATCTGGGGTTTTGCCTGTGTGTTAAACCACAGCAGTCCTAATGCCTGCATATATGTATGACATAGTGAGGTGGCTCTCACAGACTGTTCTGATCTGTCTGTATAATGCTTTTGTTTCTCTGATGAGTCGTTTGTACCTGGTAATTAGGTTCTTGTAAGCGTCCTTCTTGGAGTTATTAAAAAAAAAAAAACCCTGAGTGTTGCCTTCCTAGCTAATGCATTCTTGTATAGAGGTATGGCATTATCATTTAAAATGAGTGTACTCGCAACTTGATGCGAACGTGCATACTGCATCTTCTTGATTTCGATGAAAACAAACGAATTTAAAAGTATTCTTCACGCGTTGTCACATCAGTCAGCTGTGATAATTGAATAGGCATGTATGTGACAATGCTCTGAGGTGATAAAATATTTGAATACACCAGCTGTCTTCTTAGTGATGTCTAGATCTGTCTGGACAGAAGCGTACAGTATGTGGTGCTGATAGTATGCTGCGACACACCATTCAAATAACATCTTATAATCTTGACATGGCTGACATCAGAGCTGGAACTCAGAGAAAAGACATTGTTATTGAACTCTTTACGTGTGTTAAAGAGCACAGATGTGTTTCATAAATGTTGACATTCAGACTGAAAGTGTCACTTCTTAACCAGAGAGAAAGCTGTAACAGAAAGTCACTGTTAAGACGTGTACGGTGTATTGCTAGGGTGAGCATATATAGACCATTCAGGCAGGTTTTTCCAGTCTGGCTCTTAGAAGGGACTGGGAAAACTTTATTGTATTCCAGGTTAAAATTTTGTCGAGCCAAATACAGATTCTAAAAAGTAAATTAGAGTGGTAGAAATTACAGGGACATTCACAAAACCGCAGGAGGGAAAGGGCTCTTGTGAAGCTGAGGCTGAAATGTGGACAGGCAGTGCCATCCTGGGTAAAATGCACAGAGGTTCTGGAGTTTTATTATGTATGCTTATTTCTAATGAATTTGTACTTGGAGTTTGTGGGAGGTTTTAACACAATAAGGTAGCTGTACTCTTCAGGGATTCAATTAGAGACTCAGGAGGGAGTGTTTTAATAGAGGGAGGGGAAAAACAGATTTAAATACAAATTCATCTTGGACCGATTATAAAATGGAAAGAAAATGCGTCAGGTACCTTTGCTGTACACGATGGTGGTGGCTTGCTTTGTACCACTCTTGGCAGAGAATGATGAATTACAGAAATAGGGTAACCAGCCTTTAATTTTGTTAGGTAGCTGCTGTGAAATAATCTAGGTCAGAAGGAGGTCCCCCCCCCCCCAGTATAGTGCATCATTTGGATTTTACTGTTTAACATAGTTGTCGTTGATTCAAAGGGTTGAAATCCGCTTCCACAAGTCTAGAAAATCCCCAGCAATTTAAGCTTCTGCGTCCTTAGTCATTCATCCTGGTACCTTCTGTAGTCTCTTCCATACGATTTTTATAGTAAGAGAATCCAAATGATTTGATGCTCTCTTTAATGCAAACACAGGGCTAAAGAGCAACCTGGCAGAACTGTTGGAGTGGAGAATGAGGGGGGTGAAGATGAATCAGAAGTTTGATATGTAAAGCACATTCTCCTCAAGTTTTTTTGCAGGGACTTGTTTCGGCTGGAGTGGTGTTTTCTTTGAACAAGGTCTGCCGTTGAATAAGCAGTAGTTTTACCCTCGTCCTGCCTAACAAAGTCCCTTCAGCAGGTGGAACAAGCGTTGGTTTTCCCTTATGTTCAGTCCTTTGAGGCTGTACCATACCCCCTCCTGGCAGCAGTTGTGCTGACTGCAGTACTGCAGGCCGCATGCAAGAGATCAGTCCCAGTTTTGAGAGCTGTCTTAATAACGTGTGAAGCAGGTCACGTGCAAAAGTCAGGTCCTTCACATATCCCGGTCATTTTTCATTTGCTCCTTACATTCCTGTGATTTTTGACCTGTTTCTTCCCCTTTATCCTCCAGGCTATCCTTGGTGCAGGTCATTATGTGTATGCTGATCAGCCTGAAGACTTCAATCAGAAAGTGAAAGATATCTGTGATTCTGTGGACTGACTGCCTTCTGCTCCGTAGAAAGTCATACCACGGATAGCATTTAATAGCAATACTCTCTAGGAAATCACCACAAAGAACGCGGAGCTAATGGAACAGGCTCTGTTTGCACACTGGTTCTTCCAAGAAGCCGTTTGCACACTGAAACCACTTAGTGCCTTTTTTGGGAGGTATAGGGAGGTTTGAGGCAAACTTTGTACAGCTTTGTTTGAGATTGGCCTTTAGATTATTGGCCTGTCATATATGAAATTACATATAACTTTTTAAAGTGGAATTTTCTTCAAAATGTAAATTAATTTTGCACATGTTGAACTTCTAAAGATGCTGAATTCTCCACTAACACTGAGAACTGTATCGGTATGGACACGGTGTATAAAATGCAACTTGACTTCTTTATAAACAATCACGGATTTTAACTGATGTTTCATAGCAAGAATATGAAATTGCTTAAACATTTTGCTTTGGAATCTAGAACTCCAAATACAATACTTTAAGAGGGTGTTGATTTTTGTTGTTGTTTGGTTTTTTTATTGGAGCGTTAACAGCTTATGAAGCTGATTCTGGGAGAGGGACAGGGCCAAAATAGTGAGCAGTGTCTGTCACTGAAATACAAGTGTTGGTTTGTAATGAATTGGGGCTCAATATTAGGAAATCTTTCTTCTCTTCGGGTTTATTTCCATTTAACTCGAGGCATCTTTTTGCATCTGTGCAACTTTTACGGAAGGCTCGGTTTGTAAGAGTCGATGATGTCACCAGCACTCATGCTTCCATGAATTTTTTGATACATCGATTTCAGTGATGTCAAATACAGAAGATGGCTTGTTAGTTACTCCATCTATTTTTAACACTTTACTGCAAGATTTGTTACTAGCCTAAACCTAACAATTGTAGATAAGTTGACAAGATTTTGATTAGGGCTAGGGAACAACCATCTGGATAGTGAGCATAATTCCCTTTTTCTTTAGAACATGCAGTCCACTTTTTAATGAATTCAGGGTGGAGAAGAGACAGAGAGAGAATATGGATGTTCTCTAATTGGGAACTACAACGGGTTAGTGTAATTTTAGTTAATATGCAGCCTCCTTATAGGAAGGATTATTACTGGAATGAGCAATACCACTGTAAAAAAATTATGATTATATTTCTTGGAGATTCTTTGTATAATTATGTATTTTAATTGAGTATTTCAGTATTGGAGATAATCCAGTCTCTGCATCTTTTTGAAATCGTAGTTTGACATTAGTTCTTCACATGCTTAGTAAATTATATTAAGCAAAATACTTTGTCACTTTAAAGCCAAATTGTGTGGTGGTTTCTTTTTTAACAAGTTTACATAAAACTATTGATCTGATTTTGAATATTAAATTGACTACTGAAGAGTTCTTGATACTTTTATACATAGAGAATTTGAATTAATGATAGCACCGTTTTAAAGCTTGATTGGAATGCTGTGCATTATTTTTCACAAATTAAGGAATTCTTGCACATATTTACCTAAAAAATACCTAAAACATTCAGGAAATACTCTGATTATGTTCCCAGCCAAACATAATCTCTCTGAAGGAGATATTTATCTGAATGGTGCTCTGTAAACATCAAGCAGTCTTTGTTGACTGCCTTGACTGGTAGCTCTTTAATATCTTCACAAGCTAGAGATTTTAATTACAATTAACTATTGAATTAGATTACTTCTTCGATTAGCAGAATCCAGAATTTTTTAACAAGATTTTGGGCTATTTGCTAAAATTGTGAATATAAAATGGAAAATCAAAATCTCAATTATATTTTTGAATATAGGCTATAAATTGTTAGTCATGCTCCCATACAGGTGGATGCCTTCAGTTTGTAGTTTTTTCACACTTTTCAGTGTCTAATTTGTGTCGGTCAACTTAAACAACTGTTTTAATGGTGTGTAAAAACCTAATGCAAAAATATAATCTGAGTCTCCTCCAAGGAACAAAAGGTGAAACAAGCTATTGGTATTTTCAGATAGCACTTACTGGTGGGAATTCTAGGTTCCACATCAGAAGATGGAAGTAGGGATAAAAATTGCACATGGAATGTGAATATTGTTTTAAATATCCCTTGCTTTTTCAGCTTACTGTACTAATAAGACTTATTGCCTAAGTTTTGCACAATAAAAAGAAAAAAATCTCAAATGTTATGTTTGATTAGTATTAAGACATGATGTTGCTTTTGTAAAAATTGTGTGTAATTAAGCCCCGGAAATCAGGAGTAATTAATAAGTTGAGCTAAACCATCCAAAATGCATTAAAAATACAGTAACGTTTATTTTCAAATGTCTCGATGTTCTTAGGTTTTCTTGTGTTTAACTGAAATGGGTAAGTGTTTGTCACCAAGTACTGCACGCTGAGAGCGCTGATTGTATACACCAAGAAAGCATTGGTTGGTTATCTTCCAGGCAGCATGAGATGCTGCTGTGAAGGTCAACGTGGCATTCCGAATATCCTGTTGTGTGCCACGTAACCTAATAAAGTTACTTTCATAAGCACCGTCAGAGGTGCTGAACAGAAAATGAATGGCACACACTGAGAAGACCTGGGAGCTGGACCTTTTGTGAGCAATCACTGACTGGGAATAAGCTCCGTTTCTCCAGAAGTGGGGTTCCGTTGAGATGACCAGTTGCTTGAATGCACGACGGCAAGCGCTGAACGCTGGCGCTGCTGTTTTTATTACAGCTCTCTAGAATAAGGCAGGAATCACAGGCGTAAATGCACCCCAAGATCTCTCCCCTTCTAGCATCAAAATGAAGATGGCTTTGTACCGGAGACTAGGCCATAACAAAAAGAATCCAAAATATTAATAAAAAGCCAAGATTAACTGTCTAAATCTCCAGGACACGCTCTTCTTCCTGAGGTTGCTGTGATAAAATTTTATTAAAGTAACTTAGTAATGTTTTGTTTGCATGGCTGAGTTCATCTTGTTACTTATTGAACCCTGCCAGATTAGATTTTAGTTCGGAAAAACTGATTTTTCAGAGGAGTTATTTATTGATAAGACTCTATAATAAAACATTCACAGCCTTCACAAGAAAGTCCCAGTTTGTATCTGATTGTGACATGGAAATGGAGGATGTGAATTTGTAAGCGTTGAGCTTGGAAAAATGGGTCCAAGCAGAAGAAAAGCCCTCATCTGTTTTTACTCGAATTAAACCCATGCTGGCATTTCTTTTTGAGCTTTTTAAGGTTGCTACGACTGTGGTGCTGAACTGATGTGGGAGTCTCTGAAATGCTGTCTGTGGTCTGTTGTGATTCCTCTACTCCCAGCCCTTCCAGATCAGCTGTTCATCTTTTTGACTGGAAGTCGGACAAGATTAAATACAGTAAAACCAGCTGGAATCAACGTATGGGCAGACATATTCAGGATTGCTTGTTTTGCTAGGGTTCATCAAACCGTGGGCCTCCAGAAGCCTGAGACTTTTAGTCAACCGCTGTTTAAACGGGTCATTTCTTAGGGTTCCTCCAACTACCCGTCACGTCCTTGGGTTCTGTTAAGTCGGCCAGTTCACCGTCAGCCCGTCCTGCCACGTTGAAGCACAGCAGCACGCCCAAGCTGCCAGAAGCCTTGATTTGGGAGTTGGGGGATGGCTGCTGCGCCGGCTAGAGGGGGTATCTACGCTACAGGGGCACTGTAAAGCTCTGTCATCCCGCCTTGGCTAAAGCTTGTCCTGCAAATGCGAGCGCTGTTGCACAAGCTGGACCTCAGACTTGCTGCCTCAGACTGGTGCTGGGGTGGGAAACATCTAAGGAATGGCTGTCACCTGCAGGGCTCAAGGAATTGCAAGAAACGGGATTCTCAGAAGTCAAAAGTTGATGGCGAAGCACGAGGTAGGGGGGACACTGGATTCCCTGAGGTAAGATGAAAAATTAAGATGAAGAGTCAAGATGTACAAAAAGATTTGTCAGTAAAGATCATAAATCCGTCTTTTACACGAGGATTGGAGGGCCTTGGCTGTGTTCTGTTTTGCCTCGTTGTGTTTTGATCGTGGGAGTATCCTGCCTCGAGCTTTGAACGTGGTCAGTAAAATGTAGAGAGAGAAAACAGGGAAATATTTGAATAATAAGAAACGCAAGTAGCAAGAACGTACCACGCTGAAATTGAGGCATTTTTGGATCTGGGCATAATTTGTGGCAGTAATTAGCAGCAAGGTGATGACAGCACTGAAAATTCAGTGGTTACTTGCATTTTTATGTTTCCCTTGCAAGCTGCAGCAGCTTTTTTGGGAAAGCTGGGTGAGGCGATGGGGTGCTGTGACCCCAAAGCTTCGCTAAGAAGTAGGTGTGCTTTGAAAACGAGCTAGTGCAAAAGCAGAATCTCCATATATTTACAGCTCTATTTCTGCGCTTCTGAATTCACCCACTTGATGTGTAAATGACTGGAGCTGTGTGCGGAGCGGGGTGAGGCTGTCACTTCCTTTGGAGCTGTGTGATATTTACGGGCTTGCCTGGCACCCAGCAGCCTTTCTGCTCCGACTTCCCTTAAAGACATTTGCATCCGCTCAGAGCTCAAGCCTAAAACGGGGGCTAAACGGCTCGGTGGATGCAAATCCTCCCTTCTGGACGCTGAGCCCCCGTGTTTGGCCACACGCCGGCGGCCAGTTTTGCTTCGTGAGTGCCCCCGGTAGATGCTTTCATCAGGGGGACAGCAACTATTAACTACACAGCAGCGTGTGCCTTCTGCAGAACGGCTATAGATTTGCTTTTAGAAGGGATCTAAATAGAGTACTGACACTGCTAAGGGCCTAGCGAGAAGCTGTGTTTATGTTTTTCCTGGCAATACCCAGAAACAGATGAAAATTCAGCCAGGTGAATGAATCCGGGATCTCATCAAGTTACATCGTTAATTAATTAGCAGATGATTACAAAAGCGTTTCCCCTGGCTCCTGTGCAAGCCAGCTCCCAGCTGGGGCTGTGCATCCTGCCACCCCGATGTCTGGAGGTGCTCAGGGACATGGTTTAGTGGTGGACTTGGCAGGGTTAGGTTAACAGTTGGGCTCGATGATCTTAAAGGTCTTTTCCAACCTAAACGATCCTGTGATTCCATGATCTCCATACCTGCACTGCTGGCCACTCGGCTGGGAGGGGGGAGGCTCTCGCCTCCTTTCCCCCATCAGTTGGGAAGCGGCAGCTCCAGCCTCCTTTCCTTCATCAGTTCTGTGCAGACCC